TAAAAACTCAGAATGGTGCTTTGCGCCATTTTATATTCATTTCTTGCTAAACCAATAAACCTGCAAACTGCAGCTTTGGAAAAAAACCAAACTGAGAGTTTCTTTCTATTTGTCATACAGCGCAAATGTCACGCTGGTTGTCCTAAATGTGAGGACTTAATGTCAGTTATTTATATGGTTTTAAGGCATGGGCAAAAGAGCTAAGTCTTGTTGCACCTCGCACAACCACAATCCCCAGAGTTCATCAGTCTTTCTACAGCCTCATCACTTTTCCCTTTCTTCCTCTCTTCCTCATCTGTCTGCATGGGGTCTCTGAGTGTTTGATACCTTCAGTGGCAACAGAAAATCTGAGTTAAAATGAATCGTCATAATCACGCCTTCAAAACCATATCACACTCCCCGGCCTACCTATGGTTTACATTTGCAATGAATGACTACTACAGCCATTTTTGCAATGAGGACATGAAATCACCACAGTGCTTTTTATTAGTCACATCCACGGTTAAACAAAATAGGTAGGCCTAATTAAGATGTATGTCCAACAGAAAAGGCTGTGTTTTCGATGAGAGCACCCTGATTTATTTTGCTGGCAGTTTTCCTTCGCACTGCAGCAGCAGTTAGGGTTAGTGTAGGTCTGGTTTGTATCAGCGCGAGGCAGAGCGCGCGGCGGAAACTGACGCGTCTGTGGTCGGCCGGTTTTGTGAGCGCGCGTTACCGAGGTTTCAGTTTTGCTGCGCTTTAAGGAGCGCGCACCTGTCCTCAGTGATTTATTACTGCTGGTGAGCGAGACACGACTCTGTAGCGCGGCCTAATCTGTCTGCAATGAATACAGTCAGATAATAAAAGTGAGAAGAAGTATTGCATTTAATGTTAATTTTATTATAGAAACACCTCGGCTGGCTCTGGACGCATTTACTGGTAAGTCCTATACGGTTTATTTGGAAGATAATGGCGCTAATGGCAGTGAACTGACAAAATCAGTTTACTGTCATTAGTTTTTAAAATAGGTTTAGGTTTTACCATGACATTTTCACTTAATACCCCTAAAACCACCTGTCCTCACAGCAATACCTAAACTTTAAATTATATCATATATAAATATGTATCTTTGAAAATTGGATTAAAATATACTTTTTGATGAGTTTCAGTGTCCCTACACACCGTTAGATATTTATGAAGCATTTTAAAACATTATGTAATATCAAAGTCTTCATGCTTAAGATCTTCTTTCTACATCCACTTGCTTATAAGATCACAAAGGGTCTGGAGAAGTTAAAAAAATTATCATTTGAAGTGATCACACAAACTGTAAAGAAATTGTTTTGCGGTTTTTTCCTTCCATTTGTACTTGCAATACCAGAATCACCAAATTGTGCATTTAATACACCTGTGATGTAAAAAAATATATAGCTTTTTTCAACACTGTAAGATGTCACTGTAAGATTTTCTTTCTGTGGTAAAACAAAAATAGACAAAAAATCTATTTGAAATGGCTAGATTTGCGTTTTATTGAACTTTAAAAATTCAATATTTGTTTTAAGATCTGTAGTCTGTTTTTGCCCCAGTTCACAAAGTTTCTCTGTTTGTGAGTTAATATTTAGAATTTCATATATTAATATTTCATGATTAAATGGATAATCAACATGACCAAGACCTAAAAGATTTACTACAACAATCATGACTGTTTCACTTAAATAGTACATTGAGCATTTAATGAACTCTTATAAGCAATACATTGTATGTTACACAGACGTTTACGTAATATAATATTTTTTTTCTTATTACGCTGTTAAATATTTAATTTTTGGTACACCAGATACAGCCATTAAAGAGTTATTTTCATTTTATAAATAAGCAATATCAAGTCATTTATATTTCAAAATCTAAACCTATTTTTAAACATGGATCTATTTATTACATGACATCATAAAACAAGAGTAGACCATAGAAGGTGCTATAGAAATTTCTATATTCATATTTAAATATAGCTCATCTCCACTGCAACTCAAAGTAATATCTAATTCATTTCATAAAGTGATTGTAAATGATGGGGGTTAAGCGTTTTAACAGGAATACGCTGTCATGAAGTTGCTCTGATTATCATTTGAGAATCTTTGACTTGCAAGATGAGAACACATTTCCGTTTAGTATCCTGAGTTTGTATTTCATAAATTATCAACAACAACAAAAAATCTTCATCCTTTTATTCGGGAAATGCATTTTTGCCCTCAAGAAGGCTGTTGCTTGCAAAATTGGGAGTCATTTATACTTACTCAGAGCAAAGCCATGCAGAGAGATATAGGAAAAAATATTTTAGACTCTTAAGAGAATCTGTGCATCCCCTGACAAAAATAAATAAATAAAATCATTTATTATTTATTTTTAATTATATCAAAATTAGTTACTAGTGCACGACATTTAATCCTCATTTAAATCAATACATATATTATGCTGAGATTTAATATGCATCATGTCCCTGTATATATGGTTGTCATATATTTTCGTCTCTCCATATTTAGTCCTGCAGGACTATCTTCTCTGTTGCTAGCTCTCTGTTCATTATGCCTCGTTCGTTTCTGGTGAAAAAGAGCAGGAAGGGAGGCTTTCGTTCCTCTCTTCCCATCGCTGACGTGCCCTATCTAGGCCTGGTGGGCTGGTCTGTGCCCATAAAAGTGGCTACACTGCCAGAGGAATCAGGCCAAGAGATACAACCATATTCTCCAATCATGCAGCAAAACAGTACACACAGCAGTCTCAATAATGACTGGAAAACAGGTACGTTAATCAACAAAATTAATTTTTAATACATGAGGAAGTTCCTTTTTATTTTTTGTATAGCCATGGGCAAAACACCTCACAATTTTCAGATCTTCTCATGTGTTTAACACTCATTCTTCATTGGGTTTCTGCAGATCCAGCAGGTTTCCGGTATGGCCCTCCTCCATCTCCAATGCACTGGTTACCAGTCAACTCTAGAGACATAGCAGACATACAAGGGCTCAACAGCAGAGACAGTTCAATGGACTGTTCTCTGATGAGTCCTCGGAGGGATTCGGGCCCAAAACATTGCAGCTTATGTGGCAAGGTATGCCTTTTTGTGTCCAAAAAAAAAAGTATATTCTTATGTAACACTGAAACAAATGAAACACTGAAGCAAACTGTCTTCAGGCCATTTTTGGAAGATTTGTTTAAAATACAAATCCACTCGTTTGACCAGCTCCTCCAGTCCATAAATCTTGCTCACCAAGAAATAGAAGACAAAACATTTTCCTTGAGTAGCACTTTAATTATATTTCACTTTATTTTGGTCTCAAGCCTTTCTATGACAGGGGGGAAAGAAACTTTTCCCTTCCTGAGTCGTTCTTTAAAGTTCTGGTTTTAATTTTTTCCATTAGGTTTTCTCCTCTCTCACTCGTCTGGAGTCTCACGTGTACAGATTGCATGGTAGTCATCATGGACGGTCTCTGGTATTCCGGGACAGCAGAGACCCCGTAATGCCATGCAGGGTAAAGGTACGACCATTAGTTTGCAAATTTTATTTTTTTGCCTAGAGTATGCCTTTATCTTTGCCAATTCCAACTTTGTTTCTCATCTGTAGTATGCAGTTTAGTATGCGTTTTTACCTTTTTTGTAAGCAATTATTTTTATGAATAAATATGTATATGAGTATACAAAAATGACAGTTTTCTAAGTGAAATATTATACAATATATATATATATATATATATATATTTACACTGTATAATATTTTTATTGTAAAACATTTTTGTATGCTGATTTTTGGTTGTAATTTTTTGAAGTTATTTTTAAATTGTCATTGCATTTGTTCATTTTGAATTTCAGGAACGAACATTTGAGTGCAAGGAATGTGGGAAGGTATTCAAACGCTCATCCACTCTGTCCACTCACCTCCTGATCCACTCGGACACGAGGCCATATCCCTGCCAATACTGTGGCAAGAGATTCCACCAGAAATCCGACATGAAGAAACACACCTTCATACACACCGGTGAGACTTACAGAGATTTGAAACTTTGAATAGGATGGAATCATTTAGATTTTGGTTTATTATCAGAACCTTACAAAATAACAGTAATGTGTTAATAACAGTAAAGTATACTGCATTTCATTTACCATATATTGAGTGCATGTGTTTTGATTGCTCCTCATTTGGCAAGGTTTATTTTGTGATTTGTTCAGGAGAAAAGCCGCATGTGTGTAAAGTGTGTGGTAAAGCCTTCAGTCAGAGCTCCAACCTGATCACACACAGCAGAAAACACTACAGACCCTTCAGCTGAACACACTTTCTTCGAGGAGGATCCCAACCAAGACCTCTGTGAATGTACATAAGTTAGCTTTAAACACAAAAAGTATTATAAATTATCAAGTGCAGAGTTTTTAAACCAAGTCATTTATTCCCGCAGCAGTGCGTAAGAGCGTTACGTGTGAGATGTAAACGAAAGTGTCATCATAGCTGTACATCAGTAATAAATGAATGCAAAGAAAAAGAGAGTGCACAATTAAATGCAATGTTGAATCATATAGATGGATCCGGTGATACAGAAATTAGTCAAGCAGCAGTGCAGCTGATGGCCGCAGGTTCATTTGAGTCACTGCAAAACGAGTTTGTTTATAGCTGTTCACACAAGTTTAACCTGTGCATAAATACACAGAAAGCAACAATCCGATATCACCAAGTTTTCACAGTTTTTTCTTCTAAAGCCCATCGATTTGAATGCCATTTTAAAACTTCACCATGACAAGTAAAAGACATTCAAAGCTTTATTGTTTTGCAGTTGCTATTAAGACTGTACATCTGTCAAACAAAAAGAACGATGATTTATTAGTTGGGCTTTATCCAGCTCATCAGCCTTCTCTCAGGACTTCACATTATTGGGATCTGGAAAAAGTGCTTTAGGTGAGTGAAATGCAACCAGTAAAAATGTACAAATGACTGTAAAGCAGGAGCTCTTAAGACTGTGTAGTAGACCTATTAGGAGTCAGAGATTCATAAACCATAAATTATGGCTGTAATTGCATACAGCCATAATGAAGTGCAATGGCTGACACTCACCTGCAAAGCAGCCCTCAACACATGGACCATCTGAGGGCAGACAAACCTCAGTTGAACACAAAATAAATCTGACAAATCCCCAAAAAAAAACACATTAAGTTACATGTCAAATTAAATTTGACTAGATGACATCTATATTTCTAAGCACTTTCAGAGCTGCTTTTTACCTCCTCGTCTGTCTGCAGATTGGCATCTTCAGACAGGAACTGGAATGTAGTGATTGTGAATCGTCTAAGATGATTGATCAGGGCCTCTGCAGGTGTAGCAAGAGGCTTGTGGGTTGGGGTCTGGTCAAGGAAATTTGGCCACCTAAAGTCAAAAAGGTTGAAATTAATATTTTTAATGTTTTTATTTTAAATGTTGAAAACAGTTGTGCTGCTTAATATTTTTGTTGAAAGCATTAAACCATTCAAAGTTTGGGGTAAGATTTAAAAAAAAAACTACTTAATCAGCAAGGATGCATTAAATGAATTAAGTGACAGTATAAAAAAATGGAAGAAAAAAAAGCACAAACCCATCTCGTACCCATCATAAATAAGGATCCAGGCATATTTTGCAGAGCGTGGGTATGCAACACAGTAATGCACCAGCAGCATAGCAGTGGGGTCTGGAGGATTTAGCAGATGCACTTCCAGGTAAAGGGGTTTTCCCAGCAGCATATGCAGGGGCTGGTGGTATTGTGGGTAATAATCATTGTAGTGTTCATCTGAATGAAAAGAGGTTGTAGTTAATGCACAAAATCTGATAAATCACTTTTTTTGGGTTGCAAAAGTCATCAAATGCCTCGATTTTCTTGAACATGTTAACATTTCACTTGGAAAAATGGTTTATATTTTTCAACAAACTGTAAGAGAAGACTCAGCTAGGTTTTATATGAAGAAAATGTTTTAAACCTTTTGCAATCCTGAGTTTTTTGCAAACTCCAAACACCCCCTGAGCTTTGATAGAAGGTCTGAGGCAGGGGCTTTTCACCAGATAACCCACACTTACCACAGATCCAGGTAAATAGCAACACTCAACCAGTAGCCTGGGACAACAGGGAACATGGAGTCTCAGCATGGTGCTTGGCTCTTTGTGCATCAGTGTAACTGTATTTTCATGAGTACCTTACAGGCGACTCTCTAGTGATGGTGCCATAATTTAGACTGAGGGGCTGCACTCCATTCAGGATCTCCACCATACAGATGACCGTTTTACCCACCTCCTAGAGACAGTTCAGTTAGACGTGCACGCAAACTTGCTCTCAGATACACACCTATTGCAATGAATCTACTCACAAATCTGTGCACCCCACATTCATCCAGAGGGATCTTGAAGAGGGCCATGTCAGCAGTGACTTTTTGGGGTGTGCAAGAGCTGTCGCCAGCAGTGACAAAGCTGGCGGGGGACAGGGGCGGATCAGCGGCGGATGAGTGAACCGAGAAAACAAAATGCCGATCCATTGTGCATTCTGATTGGGAAACACAAAATACACACATAGTTTTCTTGAAAATATTCTTGTTTGTTTCTGATAAATAAATATTTAAGGCAAACTTTATACAAACAAAAACAATGTTGTAAAATTAAGCAAATACAGCTGTCCGTTTAACATGTTTTGTATAACTAATAAGTTGTAATTAATACCTTATCATTACATACACACAAGTAATCTGATAACATTTTGATTTAAGGTTTATTTGTGGTTTAAGTTATCTGCTCAAAAAACAATCAGGTGCTTTTCAAAACATTTACTGACAAAAATAGGTAACACTTTACTTGTAGTCTTTCTACATAATGCATTATAAAAAAAATATGCCTTTTATTGTACTGCATTCTATGGCCTAATGAATAATTGTAACCATATCTATAATACATTATAATACCTGTTACAACTGTATAAAGTATATTAAAGCACAAGGCAAATAACCAATTTCAGATGTAACAAGGAATTTGCTAATATAATAATGCATTTTAACTTTAATGCATTATAACATTTCATAAATAATTGTAATTAAACTAAGCATATGCTTTGGGAATGACCAGATGTGCAAGATTTGGGGGATTTGGTGCTTGATGTTCTGTACAAGGTCACCCGGACTCGTTTTCCCAAAGTTTTCTCATTTTCTGCTATTGTTGAATGACAACTCTTAATTTCCTCTAAAAGAGAAAGACTGGAAATTCTGGTTAGCTGCCTCGACTGCTGCAAAGAAACTTTTCGTTCAACGATGGAAACCTCCCCATGATCTTTCCATCAAACATTGGTTACATTCCTTACTGGAGATACTATATCTGGAACTGTCATCAGCACGGACCAACCATGCTAAACCGGTCACTTTGTCTATGTGGAAGAACTGTATATGTTCAGTTAGGGAGATCTTGGTCATTTAAACTATTTTCATTATTTTTGTTGCTATTCTGTTTATTTACCTGTATTGTACCTATTTTGGAATTCCTGATGTGCTGTGGTTTGGGTTAGGTTTGGGGGGTAGTAGTTGGTAGATACATTTTCTTATTTACTGTAATATATTTGCTACTTGTAAAAAAAAAAAAAAGACAAAAAAATTGCTACATTATGAATACCTTTATAATGCATTATACATAAAGGTTGCCAAATGTTCTTTATAATTGCAAGCATTGCTTTGAGATTTATTGTTAAATACTACACACAATTTTGAATTAAGGTTTATGATTCCATTTGAATTTAATAATTTGTCCAGCTCACCGTCCATGGGGTAATAACATGATTGGGTGTCTGTAGAATAACAGCAGCCTCTGTCGTGGCACTCTGATGATGATAACGCTCCAGATCCACAGACCAACTGCTGATCAGGTGCAACGTTGCACTCTGCACAACAAAAATGCAGTTTTTAAAAAGTTTTTTTTTTTAAGTCGCAATGTTTGAATCCACTCATTAGAAAGATTCATACTGTACCTTGACTGAACAAAGCCTGACACTCCAGCAATGACTCAACTGTGCGCCCTTTTGGTATCTGATATTTTAATATAATTCTGTACAGCCCATCCTGATTAACAGAAACAAATATTCATGAAATCAAAGTAGCCATACAACTTGCATAACAATGAATGACATCACAGACCTTCTGAGTCATGTGACAGGAAGAGTAAGGCAGGAGGATGTTGATGGTACCATCTTTACCCCTTTTTACAGAGTACCCACAATGACTTGGGGCTTCCAAAATAGGAACAGCTTCTGTTTTTATCCCATTGGAAGGGGCTGTGAAAGAAGTGTCAAATTTTAAGATATATTTTTTATTTAGTATATTAAAAGCCTGAACCTCAAACTCACCTTGTACAAAGAGGCCAGATGTTGGTCCAGGTGGCAGTTTTACGTTCATATGTTGGCTAGAACACAGCACCTGAAATTCAGGGGGTGGGTGAGCGGGTGTGGGTTTGGTTGTAAGGTGAGGAATGATTTGGTGCAAAGGTTTGATTGTAACAGGAGGAACTGTAGGTCGTGTGCCTATATCTCCAATGTAGTGACACTGAAGCTATAGGGTGAGAGAGATCCCAGAACCTGACATATAGAGAGATCACTGTGGAGGACTGAAGAGGTAAAAAAAAAAAGACCAAAAGCAGAGTGAGAAAGTGTCATACATGATACCTGTTAAACACTGGACAATATGCGGTGAGTAACCAAAAGCCATTCCTAACCCAACGCTAAACAACGTAATTTAAAAGAAAAAGTTTATTTATTGTCATTTTAATTATATTAAACTGACAGCCATATTTATTTAAACTCAAATTTATTCCACGTTTAATTTTGCAATGTTTTGCAAGGTTGTGAAAAGGTCTCATTACTAATACCAGTTACTTATTAAAACTCTACTAGCCAAGTCTACAAAACTGTAAAATGTTAATGTATTAATTTTGTAAAAAATCAATAATTAAAAAAAGAACACTATTTCATTATCAGTCATACATACAACATTATAAAGCCAGTTTTTGTAATTGTAAAATTTTAATATTAAACAATAAAAAAGTACCAGCTGCTTTTAATATATTTACTGAATTTATATACATTATCAATATATACTATGATACAATTACTAAACGTTCTTGATTATAATTACTTTTATATGAGATTTGTAAAAGCTATACACTTAAAGGGTTAATTCACCTAAAAATGACAATTCTGTCATTAATTACACACCCTCATGTCGTTCCAAACCCGTAAGACCTTCGTTCATCTTCGGAACACAAATTAAGATATTTTTTATCAAATCTGAGAGCTCTCTGACCCTCCATAGACCAATAGTATCCAGGATATATCTCCCATAGACTAGGGTGGCCATACGTGCCATTTTCCCAGGACGCGTCCTGGCCAGGATTTCTATATTGCCTAAAATATCTAGGGTTTGGCTTTGTTTGCGTGTGCAGACCGATCGGTGTATGACATCAAAGTACCATACAGACGGTTATGCTTTCGAAACGCTCTCGAGGTACTTTGATGTCAAACACTGATCGGTCTGAGCCGCACTGCTTTTAAGTCAAACGCACCTAATATGTACGCGTAATTAGGGATGGGCGGATCGATCCTTAAGTATCGATACTTTCGATACTGATGTTGTATCGAAAGGATCGATCCTCACATAAAAATATCGATTCTAAAGTGCTTTTTTTTTTAAACATTCATTTTATTTACTTATCAAGAAATTCGGTGCATAAAATAAGCTTCTAAGTGGAAAAATAGACTATATTAGCGAATAATTGTGTTGGATATGGAACCATTTCTCCTGCTCATCGGAACACACGCAAATGCTGAAAGACAGAACCAATCAATCACAGACAGCGTTCGCTGCTGACGCATGGCTCACAGTGCTTTTTCAAATAGGGCTGCGTTTCCCAAAAGCATCAGAAGCGTAAGTAGATCTTAAGAAACCATTGCCACATTATTACATTGTTACTATATATCAAATTAATTCTGAAAAATGCATCACGGTTTCCACACAAATATAAAGGAGCAATAATAATAATAAATGTTTCTTGAGCAGCAAATATTAGAATGATTTCTGAAGGATCATGTGACACTGAAGACTGGAGTAATGATGGTGAAAATACAGCTTTAACTTATCTACCCTTAAAGCATGCACACTTGTATGGTACTAATATGCTCACTTTTAGGGGTATAGTTGCACCTTTGAGGTTACTGCCCCATTAAAGGGCTAAAATATACAATTATAGTATTTTTTATTTCTAAAAGTAAAAACAAAAAATGCATATGAAATGTAAAAAA